CTGTAATACCCTCTGCATTCAATGGGCACCACAGGCACCAAGTTTCTCCTGAAAAATTAGAAACCTTGAAGAACTCTGAAAGAAAGCATCGTTATCTCTAATTTCATTATCATCATTATCTCTAACTTCTAACATTCAAATGACCACTGAGAGGATCTCTAAGATCCACGTGCTATTAAATGAACTGGAACTCAGTCCTGGTGTGTTACTAGTAGGACTTTGCTTCTTTACTCATCTTGGTTTTCCAGCCTGAATCTACACAGCTGCTCTGCAATAAGGCAAACTGCTCTGAGCTGGTGGGGTTGGAGGTTTGTAGCTGCTGGAACAGACCCGTGTTGCTAATGAGCAGAACTGAGCACGCGGGTACTGCAGATGTCCTCCGTAACCCGAACTGACGGTCTCGGTCCCTGTCGTGGTTAGCAGGCCCCTTCCTGGAAACCCTCCAAACACACATCCTTGCTGTGCACCTCCAGCAGTCAGCTCGGAGACAGCGTGATGGTGGAACTGTGCTTCCCCACCAGCCCTAGAGGAGTCCTTCTAAATCAAGATGAAGGTGCAGTGACAGCATGAGTGCCAGCATCACATCCGTTCAGCACGTAAACAGCAGCCTTCAGTCTCCTTATGCAAGTGCATGAACCGCACAGGGCTGTGCAGTACTGTGACTTACCCCGTTTCCAGGTGCCTGGCCATGTGAAAAACAGGTGACCACCTAAATCTGCTGCTACACAAACACGCTACCAAGGACAGGTGACAGGCAGCACCAGTGTTGCACTGTGAGCAGCATTATTTAGATGCGTTCTTTCTGGGATCGTGATGCACCCAAGGTTTTCATGTTAGCAGGCCTGGCTTTTTAATTAGGGAAATGAAGCATCCGTAAGCAGCAAAACAAAACAAGAGGCTTGAAATCATCCTCATTTCGTATTATACAGAATTTCTATATGCATCAGTACGCAAGCGATTGCTAAACAGGTCCTCACTACATTGACTTGCAATTCAAAACAAGGTGGTTATTATGCAAACAGGTTAGCTTTGTGGAGGCATCTCCAGGGTGAGCTTAACCCTGTCCTGTTTGGCTCCTCTTGTCTAAGTCTTATAGGTCTGTAAATGTTCATGTTGTTATACAGAACTGTGGAGCTGTCGGCGACGTAGTGCGGCTGGTAGTAGTTAGCCGGGATGGTCTTCTGTGGTGGTGGGAGTGTGAATGAGATGTAGTTGTGGAAGGAATTAACTCTCTGGAGAGGTGACTGGGAGGTGAAGTTGCTGCTGAACATGGGAGTTCTTGGGGGTTGCTTGGTCTGGTGGTTGCTGCCAGCCGAGAGGCTGCTGAAGGGATCGGAGAGAGTGTTAGCGCTTCCCTGGTCGCTGTCGGGGAGGCTGCGCTGCGGGGCCCAGCTCTTGCTGAACAGGAAGGGCATGGTGCGCGGCGGAGACTTCGGTCCCCTCACTGGCTTGGACAACGCATAAAGGTGTCGGAACTCTTCATCAAACAGCTCCACAACTTGCCCCGTGAACTTGGAGAGGAGGTTGCGGTGAACCTGGCCACATAACCACGTGAAGCTGGCAGGAGAGACAAGGTAAGGGTTAGCGTTGAGGTCAGGAACTGGAGATCCCCACAGGGGGGGTGTGAAGTTTTACTGCTGAAGCTTCTTGTCTAAACACAGGATGAAGATGGTGTCGCAGTTGAATTCCAGGTCAGTTCACATCAGTGCTCTTTGACTTGGATCAAGCTTTGTTATTGCAGCTGCCTCTAAAACCTTTAAGAAACCTTGTAAAGTTATACAACTTCCTAAAGGGAGTGGTGATCCAGATCCACTCCAGCACTAAATGTCAGAGACAATCCCCAAGGTGTGGGTGTCTGTTCCATGGAAAGGGGTTTAGACCCCTGTTTTGGGTTCCTCTCTCCCATGCACAAGACTTAAACTGAGGGCTCACCACGCCTTGTCTGCACATGCATGAATTGTACCTTCCCTGCGGAATGCTGTGCAGTTGGTAACTCTCACCCACTCAAAACTGACATTAGAAGGACTAGTGAAAACTAACCATCCTTTGTGTTCATCCTGCCATCCCTTTTCTGCGTTGGTCAAGAGAAACACATAAAAGCCCAAATTCCCTGTCACATCCCACTCCCAGAAAACAAACCACCGCACCTGACAAATGCTTATTTTCTTCACTACAGAGAAAATGAAATTACAAATATTTCCTACAGCCTTTCAAAAAATAAAAATACTACTTTGCTATAAAGCGAGGGAGAAACACCACAAAGCTGTTCTCATTCTGGTAGCTCGGAGATACACCCTAGGATACCCCATAGCTTTTAAATGATTTTTCTTTTATGTGCTCCCTTAGCCCACTTGGCTAGCATAAATTTGTGCTCTTTCACAAAACCACAGGGCAGCTGGTCGTGCTGTGCAGGCTGCCTTCTCTGAGCAGCAGCAGCAGCAGCAATAAACTGAGCGTAGTTGAGAGAATGAAATGTAATTACTCCCTGAGCTGACCGGGGCTCGAGCTGTGCAGCAGAGGATACAGAGCAGCGCTGGATTTGCACCCGAGGTTGTTGGCAGAACTCTGCCCCGGTTATTCCTGCGTGACTTTATTAGCTACGCCGGGTTTGCACAAGGATTGCCGAGAGCCAGGTTTGGCTGGAGGTGTGTGCACTTTAAATCTTGTGCTTGTCATGTTTTAACAAAACTCCTGAGCAACTCAGTGGGACTGACAGCCTGAGCTGACGCTAAGGGAATAAACCAGGTGATTTACAGCTGCCTGCTCGGAGCAGCCTTAAAGAGCGCTGGATTTGGGGCGTGGAGAGGTTTTATACTGTTGCTTCAGGAGCAAGGGGGGCAGTGAAGAAATCACTGGGCAACCCTACAATGTATACTGTACATTCTATAATTGAACATGAAAATACACACTAAGTTTAGCACTAGAATACAGGTATTTCTCATCCACTTCGTGCAAATCATTCTAAATATGGACAAAACCTCGGGAGCCAAGGTAAACAGCACAGCAAGCTAACTCCCTGCTCTGCGGGTAATATCTGCCATGCCAGCTCAACGCTGCCTTTATTCACCAAAAAGCACTCTCCAAACCTCTGCATGTCCCTCTAACTGTTAAGGAGATAATAAAGCCAGGAATAAAACCACACGTAATCTACACTGAAGAAAGGGTTGAGGTGTGGAGTGGCAGGTTTACATTTTATGTGCTAAAAATATATCTAGTTTATAAAAGGATATTTAGAGAGAACTAACAATCAATTACACTTATAAATACGTTTTGAAAACCCAACAAAATCAGAGGAAGAAAACTATTGCGCCCAGTTTTGATAATTTACTCCTACACTTAACTTCCTGGAGTACCTGACAGGCAGACACTCATTTGTGGCTCGTCGATCTTATCTGTAACCCTTGCAGACGAAGAAAGTTGGATCCAATTAATAGCCCCAACATTCTCCATGGACTGATGGCAAATGGATCAGCTATAAAGTAACGAGGTGAGGCGTGCGTGATTTTAGACAAACACTTGTGGACTTCACATAGTGAGTCACAGCAATTTACCTCTGTGCACTCTGCTGAAGAGCAAAGCAGAACCTGACATAAAGACCTGACAGGTTTTCACTGGCTTCATTCTAAGAGGAGATTCATTGTTTAGGTTTTAGGCCCTGTTTTGCTCCTTAGTTTACAATTCTGAGTGCTCTTTTGGGAAAGGCACAGAGAGATCTGTTATTGCCACTATCTGCCTAGAAGGATCATTTTTCTACCAGGCCTCTTTCAGTGAAGCAGGTCAGAAAGGAGAGAAAGCACAAAGAAGTACTGCCTAGCTTGGGGCCAAAGCTGTATCACAAAGTCAGTCATCAATAGGTACTTTCAGCCGTCTTTCCAGGGCTTTGTCCCCAAACCTATGTCCTGTTCTGGATGCTTTCATTTATGATTGTCTGAATCCAAACCCACCTCTCTGTCCAATCTTCATTTGCACTGGACTTGTTTTTTCTGAGCGTGCCCTCTGCATTGCTGCAGCTCACCAGGGATGCTCTCATCCGTGTGCCCTCTGCATTGCTGCAGCTGCAGTTCACCAGGGATGCTCTCATCCGTGTGCCCTCTGCATTGCTGCAGCTGCAGTTCACCAAGGATGCTCTCATCCCCCGTGTTTACGGTTCTACAGTAACATGCAGCGTTACACGCATTTAATCTGAAATGGAAGGAGTGGGGTTTTCAGCTGAGCTCAGGTTTGAATTAACCTGGGTGTCAGTGCTGCCTGCTGGTGGGATAACCTCTGTGTGAGAAACCTGTGCCCCCTAAACCAACGTTCTCAGCAAAGCACCCCGGTGCTAGGAGTTGGACACTGGCTCTGCAGAGGCCGGTGGCTTTCAGAGCGGAAGCTGGGGGGTACTCAGCTGCCTCTGAGGACTGAGGTTTATGCTTTCTGCTGTTTTCATTTTGCCTCCTTTAGGAGCACTGAGTTTATGCACCACCTAACCTGATTTTTTGGTTTTGTTTTAGTTGGGTTTTTTTTAGAAATAACATAGTTACCATAGGATGGAGTAGCGTAACAGAGACAGCAAAATGAAACTCTGCATCCAAACCCCACACCATAGATATTGGCAATAAAAACTGAGAGGAAAACTGTAACTTATCACACTTATTCATGCCTGTGTCTTGTGCAGACACATGGCTGGAACAGCTGCCAGAAGCTTCTCAGCTCCAGCCTGCCCTGTGTGGCAGGACCATGCTTACTCACACTGACACAAGCAATGGCTTTTTAATGTGGTTTTAAAAACTGCTCCAGAGCAGGAGATGCCACAGACCAAGTGGTGGTTTCTTCGCCTCTAACTGCTTGCCAGCTTCAGTCCTCTTCGTTCTCCATTAGGCAAATACATTTTGTCCCCAAACTCTAGAAGCAGTGAGCCAGGGTCCCTTCCAGAGCAGCATGTCCTGAAGGGCTATTTCATTTCCTCAGCCTGTTCCCCCATCCGCCAGTACAAAGTTATGCAGAGCACAGCACTTGGGTGAAATCTGCTGTTGTATTAGTTTCAAGATCTTTTGTGTTAAAGATCTATTCCAATTTTATTTCCAACAAATGCACTGCAGAAGCGTTGGAGACTGTTTTACTCAACATCATTCTTGTTTATACCTGCAGAGGCTGGTGAATCAGGTTTAGGGATGACAGAAAACTCTCAGATCGATAAAGCGAGAGCTAGGAAGCCTACAGAAACGCCAGGTACTGACAGCCAGCTATAACCCATGTGAATGTGCACTGAAGTTAAATACTACATAGATTTGTTCCTCACCACCCTCTCTGCTTGCTTGCTGCACAGGGGATTATGTGGTTTGACAAGGCTCTTGAGGTTAGAAGATATGACAACAAGAGTAGAGAATGACAGAAGTGACTCTGCACAGGACTTGGAGGGTTTTTCTCTTTTTAGGACTGAAAAGGGAAACCAAAAGGAAATCTCTTGGCTAAAGAAAATAGATCTTGTTCTGTCCCTCTTCTCCCACATATCCTTCTCTTCTACTCTCTGTATAAATCTGCTGTTGCATTGCTACACATCTTTGGTAAGGTATTAAAAAAAAACCTGAAAGAACAAGAAAACCACAGAGTGGCCAATAAAAAACCCACTGTGAGTGTTCACTCATTTTTGTCTGATGGTTCATTTGACAACTGAATGGAAACTGGCTGCCTGCCTCTGTGGGCAGCTGAGCTCCTGCAGCCCACACCGACCCAACGTATTCACCTTCACCTTCCTGACTGGAGTTATGTAATCTTCATAACTGGTGGCACAGTCTTATCAGGCTAGAGGCATCTAAGCCTCCAAAGCATAAACTGGGATTAAGAAAAACAATCTCATCCTTTTAATTAAATAATCACCTCTGTAATTTTTTTCTCTTGTCTTTTTGTATGTGTATTTCTAGGATACACTTTGGTCATTTGTGAAGCTTATCCATATAGCCATGAGGCACAGGAACTGTATTTAATGCAAGCTCAGAGTCTCCTGAAATTCCCTGACCTGAGAATCTTGGATGTTAATTAAAAACACAGTTGTTGAGATGTTACATCCTCTACCTGAATAATTATAGCAGCACAAAAGTGGAGAGTTACAGACTCAGCTCACAAAAAAAAAATAAAAAGGAGAAGAAAAGGGAAGGTACAACAATCCCATAGACACATACTGCCTACCTGTTAATGAAACACAAGAAAAAAAAACAGTAAGTCTCTGAAGTATTTCTATTTTCCCTTTAATCACTAATCTTGTCATATGGAGAACAAATCCTCAGATAAGCCGAGTGACTTATGCCACATTAAGGGATCCTGAGGGAGATGGAAATGTATCATGTCTCATGATCACAGCATCTGAGGACTCAAACAATGAGGAAAGCATAACACTAAGTTATACATATTTCTAGTTCTACTCCAGGGCTGCACCAGCAAAGTTGCTTACATTAGTTTCTGAACATTTAAATACCACACTCCAGAAAGAACTAACATCAGCTTTAAAGCAAGTTAAATGGATTACTAAAAAATGGCACATATGTGAAAACATGAGGGGGTTTCATTCAAAAAAACTTCTCACTCATACTAAATTTCCATGGTACTTTTTTGTGAAGTAATATTAAAAATCATAAAAGAGCAGCTAGACATGAAAACTGCAATGGCTTATCTCACCTGTAAGATCCAGAGAGCACGTATCTCCAGTCAGAGATAAGAAATTTTTCTTGTATTTGTCCTGAAAATTTCCTGCCTGATTTAGCACAGTAAACCTCTCCAGTAACACTGCGGACTGAAATATTCTGTAAAAAAAAAAACAACAACAACAAAAAAACCTCAAACCAGAGTGAATTCCTTTTTTAATTTTAATTAAAAATCAGAAGGAAAGGGCCTTTCTCCCCCACTGCCTTTAGCTCTTCACTTCCCCAATGTCTGTTATCATTTCTTCATGGACTCCCCAGTGATATATTTGAAGGTTTGAGGCTAGAGCAAACCCAGCCAAGCTCTCTCACCTACCACAGGGTTAATGGTTTTAATGGGGATACACACCCGCATGGAAATCCAGGCAGATGGAGCTGTGCTGTGTAAGGACAGCTGATGCTGCCCCTCCTGAAATGAGCAGGAGATGTGTCCACAGCTGAGAGCAGTCTGTTACCTCTGCTGACACCCCAGCAACAACTTGCTCTAGCTGTAAGCTCTGCTGTTTTATGTTGGCTATGGCAGAATGCAGCAGAGCAAAACCTCTGCTCTTGCAATCCACCTGCGCCTGCAAGGACGCACACGCTGCTCTTCTGGCGCGGCCCAGACGAACGCTGTCCCGCAGGATCAGATGCAAGTGCACGTGGGAGTGGAGAAGAAGGTCCATTTGGCCCACGTGAGGCTCTGCACTGTCCCTGTCTCTGGACAAGCGCATTTCAGGCAGGCCAGGCACCCAGACCTGCCTGCTGTCTGTATGCACACTTTGCAGAACAAAGGCCTTAGTAACTGAGTGGCACCACGGATCTGGCTCACACGCTGTCAAAGCCCCTGTACTGCAGCAGCATATTTACAACCAATAGCACAGGACTGTTCTTCCTAAGGAGTGAAGGTTTGCAGACACGCACTGTTATGAGCATGCTTTATTCATTTCACTTTCTTTCTGTGTTTGGGGTGGAATTCAGCTGCTGAAACACTCCTGTCTGGTGCACCTGAGATGCCCTCAGGTGTCCTGCCCACCCTCCAGCTGCCACTCCAGAAGGCCGCTGCCTCTGTGGTATCAGCCGTCCCCACGAAGGTGCCACAAGTGCCCTACAGCATCTCAACAACTGAAATGGTCCCTAGGAGGTTATTTGTAAGGTCAGTTTTCTCTAGCAAGAGATGGTGGTGGACTAAGCTAACAGCCAGCTAAATTTGAGGCATTCTCTTTAAAACAGAGCTTTATCAACATGTTTTAGCAGAAACCACCTAGTGCAACCAAAATATTGCCATGCAAAAGAGTTTTGTAGGCCTGTTACCCGTGACTGCCAGCCCACAGCTGCTGCAGAGTTATTAAACAGAAGCAGTTGTAATGCTTATGTTAGACAACTCTACTAGGGGACTTACTTACACTCAGTTTTAAGACTCCAGGGCTCAGATTGGTTTCATCTAAGGACCTAATGGAAATGCCTTAACTTCCTGTAATATCCACGGAAAAATGTAGGCATCTTCACAGGGGAATTACATGTGCTAACGCTACCTCTGAAAATCTTTTGCTCCCTTTTAATTACAAGGCAGACTGACCCAAGCATAACCACGCTTCCACCCCAGAGTGCCCAAAGTTAGGCAGATGAATCTGAGCCCGAGCGCTTCACAGAGCCACGGTACCTTGAAGAGCTCCTCAGCAATCTGCAATTTGTCACACATCTCTGAGAAGAGATTTATATTGCCGTGATCGAGCAATAGGTAGACAAACACCATGCGCTTGTTAGCTGCCTCCAGGAGGTCACAAAGAATCTCAGTGTCTGTGAACACATCCATCACGATAGCCAGCACCTAGGGGGGAAACAGCAGAGGCATTAGCAGAGTCAATTTATATTGACTGTTGCCTGTCAATATAAATTATATTAGGTTGCCTGTGAAGCCACTGAAATGTAGTTTATTTAAAAAAGAAAAAATATTCCCTCAAACACAAATCTTTGGAAATAGATGTAGATATTTCTTCTGGTTTTCTCTCTAAGTGCCTAAATCAGTAAGAGTGAGACACGTTGCATCATTTTTTTATTGCTCATATACAGCCAGTATAACATGCAACACACACACTTCAGTTAAGCTCTTTTAATCATAAAACAGAAGATGACCCATTAATTTGTAGCTGAGATTTTAGCAGTAGGAAATATTTTGAAGAGCTAATCAGAGAATAAAAAGGCTGTCACTGAAACAAGAGAGAGCAGCCCTTGCCACCTGGCTGACAGATGCATTTAGCAAGAATCACTGGATGACGCTTTCTCTGTTGTGACTAACACCTGGAACGGTCCTGGCTTTGACTCCTCGCTCTGTTGGTGGTGGTATGGTGACAGACTGCAACAGCTCCGTCTCTCTTTGGTTTTTGTAATGATTTATAAACTAATTGTTTCATTTTAACCATACATCCATGCCTCCCAATTCACAACGGGCAGGACGGCGTGTAAAAGTCTCATGACTGGGGATAAAAGCCCCAACAGCCACTGGAATGCGGAGCCTCCAGCCAGCACGGATCAAGGGAACAGCAAAGGCCACATAAACCCACTCCCACGCTCCAGCCCCCACGCTCAGTGTTGGGCACAACATCATGAAGGTGCTGGCGTTTGTTGATGGCTGCTACTGTCCATGGGAAGGGTCATCTCCCCTGGGCAACTCAGCCCAGCTAACACCTGCCTTATTTTCAGAAGGGGCCTATTTCTCCGTTGACTAGAAAGGGAACCCTTGATAATTGCACTCACGAGATATCATCTTCAATGAAAACAAACTTTACAGTAGCTCTGCAGATCTGTCTCACTAATTGCTTCCAACTTCACTGAATCTTACTCCAAAGCCTGTGCCCACACTTGCCACCAAGCTTATTCCCTTCACCTCTACAAGGAAATCTTGTAAGACCAAGCACATCCTGTGTGGCCAGCATCCTGTTCAGGCAAGCCAAATTATTCACGGAGCAGTGAGGATCCCACGCCTTCCTCCTGCTGCCAAAGCACGGTGCATCAGAAAGGGCCCTGCCAGCGCTGGGTACGTACCACAACTATGTCCAGTATCTCACATCAACACCCCTAACACACCTTGTCTTTTTAAACAGCACAACGCCACACCCAGCCTCACCACAGCTCCAGACCACTCTCTCTAGCACTGCTTTTTCAGCAGCTGTTCCCAATTTGTGTTTCTGCACCTGACCTTCCTCTCTTACTTGCAGTACTTCTCGCTTCTTTGGCCCAAATTTCATTTTATGATTCGTGCCTATTCCACAAATGTGTTAACATTATAGTGCTACTCGCCAATCCTTTGCAGTTTGATGTCATCCACAGTCTCTATCCTGTTGTTTAAGTTGTTAATGGACATATCAAATACTAGACTATCCAGGAAGGACCCTGATCAGGTACTAATTAATAAATGCTGCCACTGAAAAAGCTGTGCTCAAAAAGCAGTTGCCAAATTTATACTGTAAGTGTTGCTGCAGCACCCTCTTGTCATGTAAATGAGATGGTTAAGCAGATCACGTGAACCAGGGATTTATAGTACATTTCCCAATTTTTCCCCTACAATTTTTCTCCTCTTGGGACAGAAAATTGGCCTGGGCTGATACTTTAGCTGATGTTTATTTTATTACTTCAGAGACATTTCTTCTGTTATTCTATCTGTCTAATGCTGCCAACTTAAAATGACTGATCTATAATTCCCCTGACGTGCTGAGCACTTGTAGCCTTTGACAGAGCAGCTGCCAACGGGGATTCTTCTCCCCTGCCATTACACTCAGCATCATCAGACCCAGCACTTGCCCTCACAGGAAAATAATAAAGCCAAAGTCTGTAACTCCAGCAGGCTCCACAGCCTGTGCTGGAGAGCAGGCACTACGGCCTGGTTTTGTTCCTGACCATTCCCCTGTGAAAATGCTCGTGGCATCTCGAGTTTATGCAAGGCAAAAACTCCCAGATGATGGTAAACACAGCCCTGAAATGTCAAGTTGTTGTGGTTCTTTTTTTCCCCAGGAAAACAGGAGAGCTGCCAGAACACACATGCAGAGGCTTTTTGTCACCCTCCAGATGCTCAGTTTCTGGTTTCCCAGTGCACGGGCAGCGTGGCTTGTGGCTGGCACCTCTCTGTGGCCCCCCCCATCACTTGTCTGTTGTCAGGGGCATCACCTGCACCCTTCCCACAGGCCAAGTTATGCTGCAGAGTCTCTGTATGGAGACGCTGACAACATATTAGAGATGAAAGGGCTTTTTTCTGAATAATTTCCTTTCTCTGCTGTCACACCAGACTCACATGCCCTTCTCTGGGCTCCCCTTCACACACATCTCCCATGAGTCCCCTAAAACAATCTCAGAGCTTGTTTTAGCTTAATTCTCATTACTGGTGCAATGGTCTGACCTGAGCAAACCATCCTGCTGGTGATGCACGAGAAGGGACAGAGCTCAGCTGCCCTTTTACAGCACATTCACTCTGGCAGGTTAATGGGAGTTTAAAAGAAGGAATGCTTTTTTTATTTCAAGTCACCAACATAAAAAGCTGTTGGTGTGAGTACAAAAAAAAAGCACTGCCTGACTTCAACAACAGGCTCTTTACAAGCCACTTTCTAGAGCAAAACTACACTGCAGTGCACAAAGCTGGCTGGGATCACACACCGCATTTACCTGGTCTTTTTAAGAGCAAGAAGGCAACCGAGCGCAGAGGGAACAATTCTCTCCCCATACCTGAGTGCTCTTGTTGATGTACCGGCGTATGATGTCTCTAATGTTGCTGTTCTTCTCTGTTTGGAAATACACAGTGGCTGTGGATTTTTCCTTTAAATAAGGCTTCTCCGCTGTAATCCATGTGTGCAGCAAAGCAGACTCACCACTGTCAGAAATGGTGGGGAAGTAGGTCCCTGAAGGGAGCGACCCAGCATCGTTCTGCTTTGGTGCAGCCGCCCCATCGGCAGCCAGGGACTCCTGGGCATAGTAGGACTCCCTGGCGTTATCCTTGATGTACTGAGCTTCCACCGAGGAGAGGAAATCCACCTCGCCCTCTTTGCTTAAAGTTTGGAGGTACGCCTCTGTCCCACCATCCAGGAAGGCGTCGGTGGCCAACCTTATGCTTTCATTGTGGCTGAAATCCGCCTTTGTCAACTTCAAAGACTGGTTCTTGATTTCCTCCAGCCTCTTCCTTATCTTACCCGTGTGTTTGGAGTGGCTCATGGCTCTTTGTCGCAGCAGCTGATCTGCCGGGCAGGCACCATGCATATGCGTGGCGCAGGCAGCGCAATCGTCCCTCTTGTTTGGAGACAGCATTCTGGCGTGAAATCTCCTCGGCTGAACAAATTAACTATGAATAAAAATAAAGAGATCTTATTACCTCAGGCAAATTCACACTCCCTGATTTCTTTGGTACAATTATCTTAAAAAAACAAAACCAAACAAACCCGAAGCTTGCTTCTCAGGTGGTGGTGTACTTCAGCAACAGTCCGTTCCCAGATGGGACACAAGTGCAAAGTTGATTAGATTGCTTATCTGAGAGGCACCCACCTCACCCCCAGGGCATATGAAGGGTTCCAGTCCAATTACCAGGGCTGTCTGATTCGGCCGTATTTCCCTTCCTGTGCCATCCTGTGAAATGTGAGCAAGGAAAGCACTCAGGCAAAAGCAGGTAGGATCTCAAGCATTGTTTCACAATCTTCAAAACAGCTTGAGGCTTCTCTGTCTTCCCATAGTATTCCTTAAGGAGGAAAAACAACTCTGGCGTTGAACTGGGACAGAGACATCAGCCATGTCCATAGCTTCAGAACAGCAGGAAGGGTCACGGACTCTTGTCTGCACCTACATGCTGCCAGGCAGGCTTAAAAATAGACTTGAACTTCGTCACTGTGCCCCATTCGCAGTATGTTGCTATTACCACAGACGATTCACTCATTTATTTCTTTAAAGCTTTGTGACTACGCCATCCTATTAAAAGACAAATACCCCTTCCCAAACACCCTGAACATTATATGGAGGACGGGTTGTGAGCTGGCCTCAAAGCATCAGAAATACAAACACTCATCACTTGATTGTGCACATTTAGGGCTGTTGGGTTGGTTTCTTTTTTTTTTTTTTTTTTTTTTTTCCAGGCTGCAGCTGCTGGAGTCACGTTGTCCCCGTGGCAGCTCGGCTGCTGTGTCATTAGCAGGATGGAGGTGCAGGTTCGCAGCGGGGTGACAGGCGCAGTGCCTCCGGGGAGCCAGGCCAACTGGTATGACTGTGTGGGGGCGAGGAGAGGCAGGGTGGGAAGGGACCCTGCCTGAGGTATGTCATAAATACCTGTGTGCATGCTTTTACGCAGAGGCACGTGTGACACAGTTTTCTCACGCAGGTTTCAGTTTGCCCTTGCCCTGCGTAGCTCTGCATCCATAAACCATGGTGCTGTGGCTCTGGAGAGGAGCACAGGATCAAGGGGACACACCAGTCTGGGCCCTTGAATGGGATATGGGCTGTGGAGGGCACGTCTGAGCAGGGAAAGGGTCCTGCTGCTCTGCCCAACGCGCTCAGGAGCATCAGCATCTTCAGGGCTTCTCAGAGTGACACAAGCCCAGTTTTTCCAGGGTAGCTTCTCAGATCCTGGGTCTGTGACTACGTCAGATGCCTTATGGGGGGAAAAATGTATATGTGAGGATGACACATATGTATATGAAAAGAGAAAAGGGTATGAAATGGTTCAGATTTTAATCCCAGAGTCACAGAAACACCCACCTGGGGGCTGAGGAGAGGTGGTGGGGCCTGTCCCTGAGCTCCTGGTGTGATTTTTAAGAACTACCCTGTCCCTTC